CATGCCGCGTGTCAGGCGGGCAGACCGGCGTCGCCGGAGTGTCTATTGGTGGTCGCCCGAGATCGCACAACTTCGGGCGACCTGCAATAGACACAGGAGGGCCTACGTGAGGTGTCGCAGGAGGAATGGCCTGGACCCTGTCTTGGAGGGCGAGCTGCGGGTGGCCTATCGGTCCGCTAAGAAGGCCCTGCAGCTCGCCATCAGCCAGGCCAAGGCGGCGGCCCGCCAGGAATTGCTGGCGGGCCTGGATCGGGATCCGTGGGGGCGCCCGTACATCAGCGCGCGGAACAAACTCCGCGCGCATGGCGCCCCGGTCACGGAGACCACGCCACCCGACGTCCTCCTGCGACTGGTGGGAGGCCTGTTCCCGGAGTCCTCCGGGCACGTCCCCCCGGTGATGTGTCCTCCCTCACGCCTTGAGGGAGTCGACGAATTCCCCCCAATCACCGAGGGGGAGATGGAACTGGCCCGCGACAAACTGCGGGCCAAACGGACGGCTCCGGGAACGGATGGTATTCCGGGGCGAGTTCTGTGCATCGCCCTGGAATACCTGGGAGGGGATCTTCGGGACCTCTTCAACGCATGTCTTCGCGTTGGGCAGTTCCCGAAGATCTGGAAGGAGGGGTTGTTGTGCCTGTTGCCCAAGGAGGGTCGTCCTCTGGACTCCCCTTCGGCATACAGGCCAATCGTGATGCTGAGTGAGATGGGCAAGCTCTTCGAGAGAATTCTCGTTGCCCGTCTTACTCAGCATCTCGAGGAGGTGGGGCCGGGCCTTTCGGAGGCTCAGTTCGGGTTCAGGGCGGGTCGGTCGACTGTGGACGCCCTGAACGCCCTGAAGGTTCGGTCCTTGGCCGCGGTGGAGGAGGGAGACGTGCTTTTAGCCGTCTCGTTGGATTGTGGCCAACGCCTTCAACACCCTGCCGTTTGAGACGCTACGAGAGGCACTTCGGTACCATGAGGTGCCTCTCTATCTCCGGCGGGTGTTGGACGCGTACCTCCGCGACAGGCAGGTCGTGTGGATGGGGGCAGATGGGGTGGTCGGTCGGCGACGTGTCGACTGCGGGGTTCCACAAGGGGCCGTTTTGGGCCCGGTACTGTGGAACCTCGGGTATGACTGGCTCCTGCGTTGTCCGCTTCTCCCCGGGCTCGGTGTCATCGCTTATGCCGATGACACCCTCGTCACAGCCCGGGGGCGCTCTTACGAGGAAGCGGCACGCTTGGCCACAGTCGGCACCAACCTAGTCGTCGACCGTATAGGGTTGCTGGGCCTGAGGGTCTCCGTCTCCAAAACGGAGGCCCTCCTTTTTCATGGCCCACGCAGGGGTGCCCCCCGCAACGCCTGTCTGCGGGTCCAGGGTAGGATGGTGGAGGTACGGGCCCAGATGAAATATCTGGGCCTGACCCTGGACGGACGCTGGACGTTTCGTGTCCATTTCGCCCAGCTCACCCCGAGACTGATAGGCGCCGCCTCGGCCCTCGGCAGACTTCTGCCGAATGTCGGGGGCCCTGGATCTCCTTGCCGGCGGCTCTACGCCGGCATCGTGAGGTCCATGGCACTGTACGGTGCCCCCGTGTGGATGGACGCCCTCTCCGCACCGAACAGGGCCCAACTGCGCAAGGCGCAACGGGTCCTGGCGGTGAGGGCGGTGCGGGGGATACCGTACGGTGTCCTTTACGGCGGCGACACTTCTGGCGGGCGATCCGCCCTGGGAACTCCAGGCGGAGGTGCTCGCCGAAGTCTATCAGTATCGGGCGAGTGAGCGGGCACGAGGGGAACGTCCAGCGCGGGAGGGAGTCGCTCGGATCAGGCGCCTAGCTGACGAGGCACTGATCCGGCGCTGGTGGGAAGATCTGGGGACTCCAGCGGCTGGCTCGGCGACGGTGGGGGCGGTTCGTCCGTTCCTGTCTCGCTGGGTCAGGCGGCCACACGGCGTCCTGACGTTCAGGTTGACGCAGATGCTTACCGGGCACGGGTGCTTTGGTAAGTATCTGTGTCAAGTTGCGCGTCGGGAACCGTTGCCCGTATGCCACGAGTGTGGTGCGTCCGAGGACACCTCGCACCACACCCTCGCGGTATGCGCCGCTTGGGCTCCCCAGCGCCATGCCTTGATGGCGGTAGTGGGTGGAGACCTGTCGTTGCGAAGCGTGGTGGGGGCCATGCTACGCGACGAGAGGTCCTGGTCGGCGATGGTCTCCTTCAGCGAGGCCGTCATCTCACTGAAGGAGACGGCGGAGAGGGAACGCGAGGCTAACGCCTTAGCAGACCCTCTTCGTCGCCGTCGGCTGGGGGAGAGGAGGCGTCGGTACGCCCATCTTCTCCCGCCACCCTAGAGGAGCTACTGCGGGGGGGTCTCTCGTTGACTCCCCTGCACGTCATCGGGCGGTCGGAATGCCCTGTGAATCGAGGGCATTCCGGTTTAGGCGAGGCAGGCCCGCGGGGTACGGGCCGTCCGCAGGGGTGTTGTAGTGAATGCGCAAGCGATCCTACACACCCCATTGCACTGCGGCGACGGGTTCCGCTGTGGGTTTTTAGTGAGTAGGAGTCTCACAGTACCCTACCCATTGGACGGCCGGTAGGGTCCCCATGATGGGTTTCCCCAGCGATAACAAAAAAAAAAAAAAAAAAAAAAAAGGTTAGGTTAGGTTAGGTTAGGTTAGGTTAGGTTAGGTTAGGTTAGGTTAGGTTAGGTTAGGTTAGGTTAGGTTAGGTTAGGTTAGGTTAGGTTAGGTTAGGTTAGGTTAGGTTAGGTTAGGTTAGGTTAGGTTAGGTTAGGTTAGGTTAGGTTAGGTTAGGTTAGGTTAGGTTAGGTTAGGTTAGGTTAGGTTAGGTTAGGTTAGGTTAGGTTAGGTTAGGTTAGGTTAGGTTAGGTTAGGTTAGGTTAGGTTTTTTTTTTTTTTTTTTTTTTTTTTTAATAAAAGCCGGAACTCTTCTGACATGAGGGTCAGAAACCTTTTTTACAATTGGGATTTATTTACAATTTGGAATACTTAATTTTTAGGTGATTTTCTACATTGCTTATTACAATACTTGTTTAGATGGGAGAGAACTTTTGTTCTTTACATACAATTTTTTACTATTAATTTCCTATTATATATGGTTTTACAATTTTATTACTATGTGTTATTTGTTAGAGTATAAGTATTTATTTCTATTATTCTATTTACATTTCTTATATACTAATTTGTTTGCCTTTATTCTTAATGTATTTATGGCATTGCTTTCTAATTTACTTATTTAATAGGTATTATATATTTATTACAGATGTTTTTTTTTTTTTTTTTTTTTTGCCAGAGAGTACAGTTTGAAGGTAAGTGCCTATTTATTCTAATTGCTATTACTTTATTAAGTATACTTATGAAATATTTGCTTTACATATTTATTATATACTAGTTTTCTTACGGATTATTTTATCTACTAAAGGTAAGTACTGGTGTTTTTTTTTTTTTTTTTTTTTTTTTTTTTTTTTTTTTTTTTTTTTTTTTTTTTTTTTTTTTTTTTTTTTTTTTTTTTTTTTTTTTTTTCAGTACTGTTTGGTTTTTTACTTGTTTTGTGCTTAAGTTCTATTGTGATGTTTTGTGCCGTCTGGTTAACATTGCTCTTCAAATCTTCAGGTTTGATTTGCATGTTTTCAGTGGTGGGTAACTATTTTGCTTTTCCGACTCTTGCTGCGGGGTAAGATAATCTTGCTCCGTGGTATTCTCATTATACCTGCTTATTAGGTCTGATCGTGTGTGTGGGCTTTTATTTGTATCTTTAGCAGTATGCTACACTCGAGCGGGCAAAGTCGTCCCACTTTTTCCTCACTGGGCAGTGCACGTCGAAGCTGTTTTATGATCGGTTTTGGCGCATTTTGCGTGCAGGCAGTTTTTGCATGTAGGCTCCGCCTGCCTGCCTGCAAACTTGGACATTCGGTACGGAGATGAGGTCCTGAACAATGGCTGCACAGATCAATACTATCTGTGCACCATTTTTCCCATGTCCGAATGCCAAGCAGCGCGAGCACTGCACCAGTGGGGACAGGTCGAACACGGGCACCCTTTGGATATCCACGTAGACCTTCCCACTGTTGTTAATGCTCTCCATACTTTTGGTGATACTTCCAGTACTACGTGTGTCTCCATCGGTTTTCTCGCCCTTCGTCTATGCCTGACCTTCATCCTGTATTCCTCTGTTGGTATGTGGTCTAGAAGTTCATAATTTTGTTTTTCCAGTGACTGTAGAATGTCTTCATCCGTGTTGCTATTATTAACATTTCTAATTATTACTAAAGGGTCCTTGTTTGCTTTTGTTTCTACATTAAATTTTTTTCCTTTCAAGTTTCTCCCGTATGCTTTCGATGTCTTCTTTCTTCTCACAACCAATGAGCACTTTCTGGTCCTTTACCTTCCTCAACTTTGATATCTGGAGTCCGGTATCTCTCGCATTCAACGTAGTTTTGATCTTCGTTAGCACCTTCGCTAGTATCATTTACGTTGTCCGTACCTACGAGTAGGGCAGAGGGTCGGTTTTGGTAGCGAAGGTTTGTTGAAGTGCCTGAGAGTAGGATTGTGGTGTCGTATTTTGCTTCTCTGTTGTGTTGGTTGTGAGATTGGTATTGCCTTGATATCTTCTTTCATTTCTTGTATGTTTTTGGGTTTTTTTCGGTTGCTATGTTCTGTTTCTGTAGTTCCTCCATCAGTTCGGTTTTGCTTTTTTCCTCCTAATTTCTTTTATTTCTGCTTTTAAATCCATGATTTCGTTCTTTAAGTCTAAATTTTGTATTATCACTTGTTTCATTTTGTTTTCTATCTTTTTGTTAAATTCCGTCATTTCTTGTGTCTGTTGTTTGGGTGCCTGGTCAAGTCGTTCCATCACCGCCGCTAGTATCTCTCTAGCTATCTGTCATTTCACAGTTTATTGAATTCACCATGTAGTATAATTTTTTCGCATGAAGGCTATATTTTCTCTGATGGTCGTTTTTATATTTTTTGAGTCGTTTATGTTTTCTAATATTATTCTATAATGTTTCTTCTGCTCTGTCATCTAGTACTTCTTTGGGAGGTAAGATTTCTGATTTTTCTCTAATTAATTTTGTTATATTAGGGGGTAGGGGTAGGGCTAGAGGTGATGGCATTGATATTTTTGATGGCGACGGTGATGTCGTTGCTGTTGTTTTGACAGTCTTACTTGACGTGGCTTGTGGTTTGGCGGTTTTCGCCTTGACCGCTGGCGGTTTGGAGGTTTTGGGAGGTGTCCTATGCATGTTTGTTAGAGTCCGGCTCTCGTCTTATTTTAAAACTAGTAATTTTGAGTGTAAAGGGCTCAGAGTCGATCTGTAGTTACTAATAGTATGTGCGGTGTATAAGTCCGCTGTCTTATTTCTTGTTAAAACTATCTTATTTTAATTTAAGTTATTTCCAATTGGAATATATCAATCTTATACTACTACAGTGTTTACAAGGGCTATGAACCTTATGATCTAGATTGCTTAATATCTTAAAAACTACTGAACGGATTTTATTGCGGTTTTCACTATAAAAAACTAGGAGAGTTGCTCTTCACTTTTCAATAAATTTTTTCAGGGGTCGTCACTGAAAATAATTTTTTATCTTCCTCCGAAGTTTGTCAATTTTTTACGAAATTTTAAAAAGTCTATATCTTTGTCACTGTTTTAGTTACGGCTATGCACGATACCTTTCTGTGATCGGCGCGTCCTGCTCTTTCCAGTAGTGGTGGTTTAAAGTCTCTGTCTCTCTCCGTTTGGGAAAGAGAGAATCCGGCAAACTTGTTTTTTTGAACTTTTTGACCACTTCCCGGTGTCCAAAAATTCCGGGAGTGGTGTCGTTGGATAGGTCTTAGTGAGCACTTTTAAACGCACAAATAAAATTGGTACGTTGTCGATCTAGATCGAGCGGCGCACGCGAAAACAGTTTAAAAATGTCTAAGTTTATCACTTTTTGCCAAATTTTGGCTAATTCCGTGCACAATTTTTGTCACTATTGTTATATATTTACACACGTTGACACTTAATACACTATATTTCACAGTTTTTAGCAAATTTTCAGTCTTTTTTTTTTCTATTTTTTAGCGATTTTTAAAGTTTTAAAAAAAACGCCGTTTCTTCGACCAGGAGCACTGTTTCCGACGCGGTGAGCGTGTCCGTTCGCTCCCGG